TTGTGTATTTTCGAAATATTTCCAAAGAGCTGAAGTCTGAATGTTTTAAAAATAAAAACTTGGCTGTCGCATCTAAGGCGATTGCACGTAAAGTTAAAAAAAAAAAACATATTTTTTAATACGATTTCGGCATATTTTTATAAATAACTTTTCAGTGAGTGTTGTTGCAATATCAGCGCGAAATCAGCTAAAGTACTTGTAACTAACTGAAATGAGTGTTTGACGGAAAAACTTTGAACTCGCCGTATCAGCGGCGTATATCTCTCCCTCTCTCTCTCCCTATATATAAGTAAATATATATGTATATATTTGTGTATTCCATTTGAAATCAATTTCGATTCACTTCAGTACCTATATCTCTCTATATATATATTCTCTTTCAATTCAAATTCAGCTCAGACGCGATTCAAAAGTCTTGCCAATAAATATCGTTTGTTATATAAGATGGTTTATAATTCTATGCGCTATCTCCCACGTGCAAGATTTTACTACCCCTTGCATTTAATGCAAAATAATGCACATAATTATAAGCCAATAATGCGGCAGTCAATAAACAACAACAACAACAACTACAATAATAATAATAATAATAATAATGTATAAAAATCGCCAGCACTTGCTAAGTTACTTTGTATATGGGATAGAAGGTAGAACAAAGTAGAGTCGGGTCGGTTTGGGTCGGGTCGGGTATAAGGCGTGTGTTTGTACATTGTTTTTGATATTCAAGCAGGCGCACAACAACAATTAAATGCCATTTAATCAATATTAAGTACATAAAAAGCAGCAACTGTAGATAGCGTCTGGGCCGACAAAGGCCAGGCCCCAAAAAATAAAGCAAAAACAAAAATATGCACATACGATAAGCTTGGATATGAATAACTTGAGAGCTCTGCAGCTCGATTCACAATTTTCGCTGGCGACCGCTATCAGCATTCCACACGCAACATATTTAAATGAACTGTTAATTAAGTCACAAGATTTGCTTAGCACACAAGACAAGAATTAGAACAGGTAATTACCTAAAAAGGCTCAGAAGAACTCAGGATAGAACGGTAACGGCAAATTGCACCAACTGCGGTGTTCAATGAAAACTGAACGATCTTTGCACTAGATGCCTTTTTATATAGATCAAAAAAATGTCTTTGAGCAGTGACAGCAGAAGCAGAAGCAGAAGCAGCAACAGCAGCAGCAGCAGCCACGTGAAGAGAGTATAAATTTCTCTTAGTCTTTTTTGCACTTTTGATGAATTTTTGAAACAAGTTTTCTAATTAATTAGTGTTTGACGCACACACTGGCACACACACTCACGCACTTGCCGAAGCAGCTGACTGGGAACTAACCTGCGCTTTTGTCGATCGTTTGATTGCAATTAAAACTCTTGAAGACAGCAGCGAAAGGCGCGCGCGATCAACTTCGGCAGCGCGAAACAAAATAGCAACAACAACAGCCAAAACGAGCTTCAGCCACCATGGCGTATTATTGTTGCTTATTACTGAAAGCAGCGCAGTCGACGAGTCGAAACTGTGCTGCTTATCAATCGTAAGAGCGAGAGAGTACGAGAGAGAGAGCGCGAGAGCAAATGGCGTCGTGAGAGCGCGCTCGTTTGAATGTGCGCCAGCGCAGTGAGCTTTTTCGACGTGTAGCTGCTACGGAAGGTTACGCACGCAGCAGATAAGCGATAGAGATGTGCTGCGTGAGCTTTTTTTGTTATTTTTGGCCAGGCATTATGTAACGTAAGCAAAGCTAACGAAGTTTTTGAGCGGTAACTTTCGTATATGCAAATGAATGTGTGCACAGCATTTGGTTAGTATAAGACTTGGGTAAATCTGTATAAGAGTTTATTCTTATTGGCATATGATCATAGAAAAGCTTGTTCTCTTATTTTGGCTGCTATATTTAAATAACTAGTATTCTTTTAATTAGAACAAAGAGCTGAGTGGCCTTAAAAGTTTTTTTGAAAATATATGTTTATTTATATGCTAGTTTTTTTTACTCGTGTACAAACATAACCTAAATCAATTAACTTTATACGTGCTTTGGTTGTTATTGAAAACAGTTTTATACATTTAAACAGAATTGACTAAATTGAACGACCTTGAAATTCGATACGTTTACAAATAAACAGTGAACAGTTATTAACTATGTATTATACATTACTTCACAACACTGACTTCTGCCCTCGACTGAAGCATTGAATATTCCAATTTTGGCGCAGTTCTGCTTAACAAACTAATTTATTTTGTCATAATATTAACAAACACAAAAGATGAATGAAAATATCAAATCTATTAGATCATTGTTTCAATGCTGATATTATGCGCTATCATTTTAGGCTATCAATAACATAGTAAACAAAGCCAAGTCATTGAGCTAGCGTGCGCTTAGCCTAATTAAATTGTTTAAACAATTTAAGAGAGCTTTGCCTTTTTCCAGCCAAACTCAAATAATGCTGGGCTAGCTAGAAAATTTTCTTTGGCGGAAGTCTAGCTGCTGATTATAGCAGATGACTGAAAGCTTGAATGACCTCTGCCATGCGCATATAACGGCTGCTGCCTTGTGGAGATGTCGAGGCCAATAGAATATTTAGCCAACTCCAAATTGAATTTATAAACAAAAAGTGATATTTAAAGTTAATGCGAGCAGATTATGTATTTAGTTAGTTAGGCACAGACGATTTGTGTGTAGAAGCCAAGATCCAAGATCTTTCAATTATTTAACTATGTAACTATCTATGTAACCTAAATTATGCGACAAGAATTTTTAAATTATATTGTTAATTATTGATTATTTATGATATTTTTTTAATGGGTTTTTCTTTTAGAATTTTAGATCCACAACTTTTGAGTTTTAGAGCTTTCTGTTTTCTAACATAAATATTCAAGCGAAATTCAATATAAGATATTACTCTCTAATCAATATTTCTGCATTATATAGGGTTCATTCTACATATACTAGACTCTAAAAGATTTATATTCTATATGATCAGATTTCTAATCATTATATATAAACCATATAAGGCCTATAATATATGAAACCTATGATTTACTTTCTTTCAATATATTTTAAAAATATATGGTTAAATCTATTTAAAATGTAGAGGCTTATACTTTCTAAACATAATGCATACTCTATAGGGCTTGTAGTGATAGATTTTGAATAGTATATGTAATGCTGCTGTCCAGGCATTAAACATAGCTTCCAATATTCCCCAACCATAAATCCTTCACTCTTGCTTCAACTGTCATCATTATCTTAATAAATCTAATTGTAATTGTCAACTAACATGTTTAATTATATAAAGATATAGACAGATAAGCTTGTAAGCATTCATTCCATTGTTTAAGCGTCACGCCCCGTTATTGACAGGCAATTCATCAGGTGGCATCAATTACAGCTAAAGATCTTCGTACTTACCTCTTGCGGTGCAACTTACCTGTCGAGCATTGATCCACATAGCCCTTGGGCTGCTCTGGTAGGGCTGGTCCAAAACACATTCTCACTTATCACACACGCACACACACACACACGAAACTGTACTTTATTCAATCTTCACATCCATTTCATAGGCAAAGCGGAAAATTTGATGATTTATTTCACGAGGCTTTTCCCACAGTGTTCGGCATTGACTTTAACGATTCGGGAAGCATTTTGACTTTGGGTTTCTAATTTGCGGCGTCGTTTTGAAGTCGAGCCAAACCAGCTATATTTAATGATATCTATCTATGTTAATGTCACCAATGGCCAATGAAGTAATATCAAATCAGAAAATCAAACAGCATCAAATTGATGATTAACAATATTTGGTCATTAATGGGTTAACAGATGACAAAAATTCACTGGGCCATTGAGCCACTAAATGATCGTGTGATCATGTGTGAGTATTTCTGGTTGTGCCCATTCATATGATTTATTATGCTCTCGACTAGCAGCACTTGGCTTGGTTTGACCGGACTGGACTGGCCAAGCTTGTTAATCGGCTTCAACTCGTTTGTTTATTCAAGAAAAAGAACAAAAGCGAATCGAATCGAGCTTTTTTCTGCCTATGCCATTTCCACAGAGCTTTTGCTGTGCCGAAAATAAACAGACGCCAAAAACGTTAAAAAAAATAAAAATAAATAAAGGCTGCCAAACTGTTGCACGTGACGTATACGCAATGCCCCAACGCCGTCAGCGAATGTGTGTCAAATCTTTTATTCGATTTTTGTTTGTGTTTCGTATTTTGTTGCTGTTTTTATTTTTATTTTATTTTATTTTATTTTTTTTTTTTTTTTTTTTTAATTGACTTGTTTAGGAAGTGTGCGAAGTATATTGGTTAGGTATAATGCGATTTTAGCAGAGATTGAAAACTTTTTTTCTGGTATTGGAGTTAGAGGTTAGAAAGGTTAAAGCTAATTTCCTACTGAAAACAACAAACTAACAAACTAAAATATGTATTAATTTTAATATTCGTTTCAAATTGGTGTTTTCACTAAGTTGTTTTTGCTTAACATTTACTGCTCAGTCAGTATATATATGAATATATATGTATATAAAAAAAAAAAAAAAAATATATATATATATATATATATATATATATATTTTTTTTTTTTTTTTTTTTTTTTTTGGGTCATTTATACTTTTCTACATTTCTTCAATCTTTATAATTGAAAAAATTTCACATCTTAGTAGCCAGAATTTCCCACACTTGAGCGCTAAGCTTAAATGAAAAGCCTCAGAAATAGATTATGCTTGATAAGCGCGGCATGATAAAGCGTAAATAAATAAGCTCTTCATATGCGTGCAAAAATTGATAAATCTTTTAGCTGGATCATTATTGACCTCTTTAACATACCCAAAAATTAAAAATATTTAAATAAATTGAAACGTTTATCGCAGCGTGAACGAGTATTATGCAGTCAGATACACGCAACTGCAGCGATTTTGCCAATTTTTTGTTAGTCACTTTGACGCTTAATGATAAATGTGCTTGTATTAAATACGTTTAACTATATTAATCACACCTCTTGATTTTTTTCTTCTCGTTCGGCTGCAATTTGCAATTTGATTGCTGCTCCCCTCGATGCAGTTGCTGATTGAACAAAGCAGCAATTGAAGGCACTGTGGGCTGCTGTTGCCGTTGTTGTTGTGGTTGTTGTTGTTGCTGTTGTTGTGACATGATTGCACTATTATATTGTTATACGCACTTTAGCCCTTCTTTCACACACACACACATACACACGCGACACTTGATATGCAAATTGGTTTTTTATGCAAAATGTTGCAGACGCGACGAGGAACCTTTTGTTCGCTTCTTTTTTTTTGCGGCTTTGGTCTCGTTGCTAGTCTCAATGTTGTTTGCAAATTATATTTATACTTGTATCAGTTTTATTTTGTATTTTATTTGTATTTTTTTTATATTTTTTAAGTATCTTTTTGGATCTGCATGCACGGCCGGCTTAGCGCTGCTGCGACGCATGCGAATATTGCTTTTGATTTGCCCAGCTACAGCGAGCTGACTGACAGAGCAACCGTCGACACGTCGACTACGAAGCTTAAATTCAACGCAGATGGCAGCAGCGGACAATAAATATAAAAATACAATAACAAAAACAACAACAAAAGCAAAAACAAAACAAAACAAACATACATATATATAAATATTGCTATATATATATATATATATATATATACCTAGACCGAAAGCAACAACTAGACAAATGGCAGCAAGTGTCGTGTAAAACGACTTTTGGCGATGGGCTGAATTTGTGAGTGAATCCATTGCAAATGTGTAAGCGAGGGTATTTGCGCTTAATGCAGCTGTATGTAACGGGTTCGAGTGAGAGCTGAGCGCGGATGATCGAAGGCCTGAGTTGAAGAGTTGAAGAGCGAAGAGTGAGCGAGTGAGAGTGAGACGGGTAGCATGTGGAGCAAAACTTGTGAAGTTAGTATTTAAATGATTTCAGTAGTTTACTTAAATATAGATAAAAGAGATATAAGAGAGTCTATTTATGTTGCCAACAGAAGAGGACTTACATATATGTATATATTATAATATTTAACAGATATAACAGAATTTATGTATGTTGCTAATTTGTATGTGCTGTTGAGCTAAAAACTGGCAAATACAAGGAGGCTCTTGAGCTTAAAAGGTTTTATGACCCAAATAATAAACGTTCTTAAATCAAAGAGTAACTTTGGCCATTCATATGAAATATATGCAAAACAATATGGATCAAATATTTGTCTAACATAATACGCATACTTATGCTCATACTTAAAGTCTAATTAATCTCAGTTAGCTGTATAATAAAGATGTCATACATTTTTCTAAAATGCCATTTAAATAAAATATGTTTAAAAATTCCTTTTTTTATTTTTATTTATTAAAAGTTTGTTTCGTTTTGTTTGTTTTTTTTTTTTTTTTTTATTTTATTTTATTTTATTATTGGTATTATTATATTTTTTTATTTTATTATTGGTGTTATTATTTATTATTATTATTTTTTTTTTTTTTTAGCAGACTCTTTTTATATACAGTCAAGCTAGTTTTCTCGAAGGTGATCTTTGTGATATCTATATGTATATATAGTTAGTCGTCTACTGCCAGACACTGTTAGTTGCTTTACTTATTCTCACATATTATATATAGTACAGTATTAACTTTATATAACATATATGATATACATATATACAACATTTGTCCTATATACTATCGATTAATTACTAGACTGCTCAGCAATTAGATCGACGTATTTGCTAGTCCTGTACTCCCAATTAGCACACTAGTAGTTTCTTTACTTATGTCAACAATTCAAATACTATTTATACTAACTATAAAAATCTAAACAGCATTTAGTTCAGGGTATTTGCTAGTCATGCCATTCCCTAACTAATCACTCTTGCGTTTTTTGCTTTACATATTTTATCGCTTTTGCTATTTTGTTGTGGATTTTTGTGCTCCACATTTTCGGTTTTTGTTTTGATTCATGATTCATTTAATACACGATGTGATATGAATGTGAGAGAAATGGGCGTTTGGGTCAAAGGTTTCAATGGCTTTTGGGTATTTTTTCGTTTGTTTACAGTTCCAATTGATGCTTTAGTTGAACTTGACTCTTTCTCGCTGGAGATGAATTTCTCTCATTGTATTAAATACGCATCATATGAATTCTGATATATATATTATTTCTCGATAGTAATATCGTTTGTTTTATTCGTTTCTTTTAGGGCATCGATACTGGTGGCGGTTCGTCATAAAGCCATAAAAAATGCTTAGATATATTGACATCAACTACGTTGTATACACAGCAATAAATGGGGCGTGCGATAAGGCCAGCACTGAAAGCAGAATGCAAATGAAATAGACATTTGTTACTTTTATTATTTTATATAAAATAAATATTTGGAACACACTTTTATATATATATTCAGTATTGGCATCGTTTAATGCGATAAACATTAATCCACCAATGCTCGCTAATCAGTTCAATTCAGTTCACTGCGATACTAAAAATAGTCCTGCTTTGAGTACTCGGCCATGATACGGTATTAATTGATTGGGATCTGCAGATAAAAGCAAAGTGTCTCAAGTGCTCTTGGCTAACGCTGATAGAGGCAAATCTAAGACAACAATAACAACAAATCGATATCGCTTAGCCATCTTCAACTGATTGACTGATTGCCTTCAATTAATCTAGGTTTTATATTACATGTCATAAAGGGGACTATAAAATCATTCTGATTCATCTACCGCTTTTATTGAAATTCTTGCTTGAGCCAGTGGCTTTGGTTTATGGTCTCTTTTATAGTGTTATAAAAAAATGTAAGTTAAGGTGTGAGCCAGTTAAAACAAAAAATTTCAAGGAATTACTGCAAAAAACTTGTCTGAATGAAGAAAGCAACAGAGATTGTTGCATACTTATGTGCGCAAATAAATTTGCCTTTTTGGTGTCAGCTGACGATGTTATTTTTATTTTTCAATTATTGATGTACTTAATGAGCGTAAAATTATAATAAAATATAAGCACATATTTTGCTATTCCTACTTGTATTTTCTATAGGAATTACACATTCGTATTTGCATTTTAATGCTTATGGATATTCCCGCCTATGAGACAATACAAATTAATTGCAGCATACTTTTGCGCTGCAATAAAAATGTGCTGAGTCTGATAGCAAAGGCTGTTCAATAACTCCAACTCTTTCTGCTATCTTTATGCACATCCATATATATTTATATGTATATATTAGACGTTCCAATATATTTTATTGATATACATTTCCTGTAGGTATATTTATTTATTAAATGCAAGTATCTATATAGTATATAAAATTCACTGAAGCCATTCAATAAATATACAATTTTTTTTTTAATTTTCGGTAGCTGTAATTAGTTTGAAAAGTCTTCAATGCAATAAGCTTTTAAATAGCAATTAGAAACCAATTAAAAACAAGTTCTGTCAATGTAAATAATTCAATTAGCTATTTCTATAAACATGAATTTAAATAAAATAAATCTTTCATTATTAACAATTATTATTTATTGCAATGTAAACAATTAAAGAAAACTTCAATCCTATAGCAATAGCAATTGAACAAAACAAATTTACGCCAATTCGACTTAGCTGAGTTTCACAGCACAAAAGCTTTTCTTCATATGCCACGGAGCTGGCTGCTACAACAACCAATGCTGCTACAAGAGCTTAACCACTTCACAGCTGACAGCTATATAACTGCGTGCTGCTTTCCTGCTTCGAATTGCAAACTTGAATAACGAACGAAACAAACTGATTGGAAAGAGTTAGCTGGCGGGGATATCCAAGAGAAGAGATCAAAAACGTTGAGCATTTAGCAGTCCGCAGCATGAGAACACGATTAGCTGGAATTAACATGTGCCGCATGTCTCGCTAAAGTCGCTTCAATATTGACACGAATGACGGCCGAGCCGACAGGGCCGACAGTGCCGACGGGTATATCCGGTCTTCACAACTGACCGCCGCCAGGCCATTCGCTTTGTCTGCTTAATGTATGTAATCGATTTCACACTACTTTTTAATCACTACAAAACACATTTATTGTTTGCGCACAGCGAGAAAAGTTAAACAATGCCAAGAGCAGGAGAAGCAGGAGGTGGAGCTATACAAATTGACATGGCCACATTATTGGGCATCTGCAATGGCACTGGAAACTGGGCTCAAAACTCTCTCACGCCGTTAACACACAAAAGGTTTTTATTGTGCGTATATGTATATGTGTATGTGCTTATGCATACAGACATATATATAGATATAGTTATATATATATATATTCGTTGACAGCTTAAATCGTCGCCTCAGCTCCAAGCCTGGATCGATTTGGGACTGGCTACGGCGACGGCGACGGCTACGGCGACGGCTACGGCTGAGTCGTTTGTTATATTTGTTATTTATTTTGCGGTTATTATACTTATACGCGCCTTTTTTATTGTATTTACAGAAAATATTGTGCGCCATTCAAAAAAAAAAGGGGGGGAAACAAATGTAAAAAATTAAAACAATAAAAAAAAAATATACAAATAACAAAAAGTTTTTTTACAGTTTAACTTTGGGTTTTGTGCTGGCAAATGATAAATTAGCTTTGTACGTAAATTCGAAAAGAAAATCTGTACGTGAAAATATATAGAGGGAGAGGTAGAGGTAGAGGGAGTGGGGGAGGGGCGGCGGCAGAGAGGAGAGGCATCTCGCTCAGGTAAGTGGAGCGAGAGACGAGTAATTGTGTAAATATCTTGTCGCTGTTTGACAATGAGCGAGCTACAGCCATCTCTCTCTCTCTCTCGCTCCCTCTCTGTCTCCCTCTCTCATTCACATTTGCGTCATGAATGCCGCATTATTATTATTATTTTGTACTTTGTCAACTTAAAGAGCAAAGCCTCGCATGGCGTTGATGCGATGTGATAATTCAATGTCGCGCAGCCAGCGCACGAACAGCTCAGACGCTGGCTCAGAGCTGGGCTCAGATACAGATACAGATACAATATCTTTTTATATGCATATGGGCTGTAGTTGATGGCCGTTGATCTTTGTAGAGATGACCGCAGTTTTGTTGTTGCTGTTGTTGCTGTTGCTGCTGTTGTTGTTGTTGTTATTTCTCTTTTGAGCATGCCAAAAGAATTGTAATTACGACTCTGTCATCTGTATCTGTATCTGCTTCAGTATTTGTATCTGTATCTCAACAATGGCATCAGCATAACAAAGAACAAATTGCTGTAAGCTTGGCTCAGTGTCTCAGTACGATCTCTGCCCCCCTTTCCCATCCCCCTCTCACCCCTTTCCTCTTACTGTGTGTAAAAAGCGCCTAAATAGTGTCAATGATTAATTGCTTTTGTGATTATGTGGAAATTTAATAGATTTTTTATTGCGCGCTCTCTCGCCTGCAGACCAAATTGATATTCTATAAAGGTACGCAGACAAGCTGGAACTGTAGCTGTAGCTGTAGCTGTAGCTGGAGGCACGTATCCATCCGCATTGACTGCAGCATC